CAAGAAAGTAAGAATCAAATGTGATTTTACCTTCAATTTCTGACAGAAAGCTGTTTTAATCCTCCTGTTCTTCAGAGACCAAATGGATCCTGAGCTTCTGTTTCCTGTTCTTTACCTGCTTCAGGTAAACATGACAACCAGGAAGGACTCAGCCCCTCCCACCCTCATTTACAGGAAGTCGAGTGAGTTTCTCTCTGACTGGGACTGAACATGAAGCGTTCAAGGACATTCAGTAATATTCATACTCCACATTTAATGGACATATTTATCTTCAAGGAGACATAATGATGGACTTTGTTCATCAGCTGATATTTTTTTGGAGTGTTGATTAAAACTATTTTATATATTGTAGATTTATTAGATATTCAGCTGCATTAAAATCGTTTTCATCTATAGTCAGATCCTCTAGTTTTTGCTCAATTTTTCTACTATAAATCTGAATATTTCAAGTTAAAATTTTAAGTTGTATAATAAAAAATAATTTTAATTTTTTTTAAACACAACAAAAAACAAATATGTAAAATAATGATAAAGTAAATAGCAGCAGTAGGGAACCATTTGTTACCAAAATCTTTCCCATCTTCCATAAACTTTATTAATAGAAAAGCATCAAATGTCTCCTGATCTCAACAAACAGGATCTGGTTCCTTCTTCCTTCTAAATCAGTTCAGCTAAATTTAAAGAAAAGTTTGGTCCAAATCTGCCTTTGATTAAAGGTCCATGGATGTTTGTGGTCCTATTTAATCCCAAACATTGACCTGAAATATCAGTGTAAGCTATGGCGTATGATTTGTAATGATTTATGATTGTAAAAAACAGACTTTATGTGTCGATTTTCTCTTTACGGAATGTTTTTATGGCAAATATGTTGGCTTAGTTTGTATCTGTGGAAGTTAATGGACAAATGCAATACAAACAATCTATGATTGGATTTATAATACGGCCCCAGGATCGCTTTACATGTAGGATACAGAAGGTGTATTCAAAAAAATTCTGATTTAACATGCTACTATATCTTTATTGATTGTGCTTTGGTGCTCACTGTGTCCATAAAATGAACTCCATGGTTGGATTGTGGAAAATCTACTCTTTCTAATGATGTCTTACATGTCTCTATTGGTCAATTCTTACCATTATTTCCATACATTCCGAGTTGTTAGATGGAAATATATCAAACCACCAGCAGGTGAACCGGTGGATTTTAAGAGAACAATTTCTAAAACAATCCTTTAATTGTAGCCTAAACAATAAATATAATTATCTACATGTTTGCTACAAAGGGAGATGGGATTTATCTGCAGTTTATAAACTAAATCTAATCCATAACTTGGCGAATTTATATAACCTGTTCTATTGTTTCATCCTCCTGCACTTGCAGACAGCCCAACATATTTTATAGTTTTCCCAGCAGGCTGCTTATCCCCACTGATGCTGCTCAGTGATCTGCCTCTTCAGACTCACGTCTGGATTCTAGATCACTTCTGATTCCTGCAGAGGAAGTGGAGGAGAAATGGCTGTAAAGTGTTTGGCAGAGAGCAGCGTGGATGAGTGGAGTCCATCTCTATGCAACCATTACAGCAACACACAGAGTACAGTTTTAATCCTAATAAAACCTGCGTACAGTTGGATGTGCAATTTATAGCATTTAAAAGCAGAACATGTTCAATGAGAGGAAAAAATATTTAGACAATCAGGATAATCAAACGTTTGGAAAGCTCTCATTTTAAATATCATAAATACATGTGTTTTTAGGCTTTTAATTATTAACTATCAATTAAAAAACTGAGTATAATAAATTCAAACCAAGTCAATTCATTGTAAACATTTTTTGTTTAATGCTGAATATTTTACAGCAAAGTTTATATGGGTGAAATAAAATACAGGATTATAAGTATACTCCTTTCCTTCCTAATAACTATTAGATCCCCCTCATATCTGAGCTGGCGGTGAATGGTGAATTCCTACTGATACCAGCAATCTTCTCAGCATTAAACACTCTTTGGCTGTAAAGCTTTTTCTGACTGTTGTGGCTCTGAGAGGAACCAGGAACTCTGACTGTGAGCTCACATCTACAGAACCAGAACCAAAGGCTGGGTCCAAAGTTCCCTCCAAGGAAACAAAGGCTTTAGCTTTCTGCTTCTCAGTCTGTCAGTCTGAGTTAATCTGGTAGAAAATAAAACATGGTCTGTTTCCTGTCAAGCCAAAGAATTAAAGCTCAGAAGATCCTGTAGTCAGAAAGTCTATTTCCCATCACATCTCTTCTGATATTGGTTCATGAATGATGATTTTTATTTTCTTACTTTTTAAAAGTTTTCATTCCGTCTCACGCCTGCAAGGCTACAGTGTGTGTGTGAGAGGGGTTCTTTCGTTCTATTAGGGGCTGTTTAAAATAGAGGCCAGACTCCTTTAGACTCAAGGTTTATTCAGCATTTTACTGTTTTCTTCCATCGCCTGTAACTCATTTGGATTAACTGCATGTAGAGACCTTCACAGCTCTTTGCAGTCTTTAAGCTAGTTATAAAATCCTTGTCTGAACCAGAACAGGGCAGAACATCGAGCTGTGAGGGATGCTATGATTGTCCACAGAGGGAGAAAACCCACTCAGGCTCTAAGAGGAAACCAGATGAATGAGGAGTTCACACCCGGATTCTTCTCTTTGCTCTGACTTCCATGGAAACTGGAGTCTGAAACTGACTGGACCGGTTTGTCCTCATCTTATCCTAACTGTCTCACCTGAGGCTCTGCCCCTTTTTACAGGACAGGTGAGAAGAGGTGAATCTGCTCATCTTTAATTTACAGGAACCTGAGCTCTAAATCCCCAAGTTCACATTGAAACTGAAATGTTTTCGTTGTGTTTGAAACATTTTTCTGGAGTTTTACTTGTTATTTCATTGAATGAACTCGAAAAATAGAAAATGAATCAACAGTTTTTCATTCAGGAGCTTTAAACAGTTAATGAATTCTTACTGTGATTTAACCAATCCTCTTCCAGTTCTGTGGTTCTGATGGTTCTAGATGTTTACTGGGTTACAGACTGTAGGACTAAATCAAAGCAGTGGGCGGGGCTAATCATCTGAAATATTTTGGTTCTGTTCTGACTCCTTCCCTCTGGTGTCCACTGGGCTGAT